AACAATTGCGTCAAAAATTGCTGATGATATTAAACCAGCACAAGTGTCTCCTACATCCTATGTTACTAAAGCAACCTCACGTTTTGTTCTTGTAAATGTTGAACCTTCTTATATCGTTAAACTTCTATCAAAATTAGCTGTTTCAAAAGCCACTGGCCTGGATAATATTTCTGCTAGGCTATTAAAGGATACAGCTCAAATTATTGCTTATCCCCTTTGTGCTATTTTCAACRAATGTTTAGAAACAGGTATTTTTCCAGAAAATTGGAAAAGAGCTAAAGTGTCACCTGTTCATAAAGGGGATAAGAAAAACGATCCTAACAACTATAGACCAATTTCAGTTCTGCCAGTGATTGCCAAGGTGTTTGAAAAGATAATTTTTGATCAACTTTATTCATATCTTTCTTCTAATAATATTCTGAGCAAATTTCAGTCGGGCTTTAGACCTTGCCATTCAACCCTTACGGCACTCCTTCAGGCAACTGAARGTTGGTTTCAAAATATGGATCTTGGTCTCTTGAGCGGAGTACTGTTCGTTGATCTTAGTAAGGCATTTGATACCGTGAATCATAGAGTTCTATTAGAGAAACTTCAACTTTATGGTATTCAAGACAAATCCCTTGAATTGTTCTCTTCCTATCTTAACAATAGGAGTCAATGTTGTGTGGTAAACAATGCCTACTCTAAGTTCAGTGCTATTGAATCCGGGGTTCCCCAGRGATCTCTTCTAGGTCCTTTATTATTTTTGGTTTATGTTAATGATCTTCCCAACTGTTTGGAATGCACCACGCCTGGTATGTATGCAGACGACACGCACATTACAGCAACTGCCAGTAATGTAAGGGAATTGGAGGGACTACTGAATACTGATGTTGAAAATCTAAGCATGTGGCTTAGGGCCAACAGGCTCTCCATAAATTCTAGTAAAACTGAATTTATGTTAATAGCCTCCAATTACAAATTAAACCAGCTTATACGAAATCCCAACATTAACCTGGGTAGTGACAGCATTGAGCGAGTCACAAGAGCTAAATTACTAGGTGTGTTAATAGACGATAAATTGAGTTGGGATGGTCATATAGATAATATCATTATTCCAAAGGTAGTGARGAATCTGCGAATGCTTCGTACATTTAGATCTATTCTGTCAATCCCACAACTTATTTCTCTTTACAACTCGTTGGTTTTACCTCATTTCGATTACTGYTCTAGCTTATGGGGTAATTGCGGGAAGGTCCTGAAGGATAAACTTCAGAAACTCCAAAACAGGGCTGCTCGCATAATTACTCATTCTAGTTATGAGATCAGATCGGCCGAAATTTTAACAAGTCTCGGCTGGTCTGATCTTGAAACTCGAAGAAATACTCAGAAGGCTATCTTAATGTATAAAATTATAGAGGGCAATGCCCCAAACCTACTCAAAAACCTATTCAAGAAAACCAGCGAGTTGCACAACTATGGCTTACGCGGCTATGATTCAAACTTGAAGCTTCCTCTACCTCATTCCGAATTTTTGAAGCGTAGCCTGTCTTACAGCGGAGCCCAGCTATGGAATAATCTTCCATTGAGTGCAAGGACTTCTAGCTCTCTATGTAATTTTAGAAAACTAATAGAGTAAATTTATGTTTTTATTATTTTCATTTTTAATACTCTTAATTTATTCATATCTATATTATATTTACTCTTCTATTTACTTCTTATACGGCTTTCTTGAAAATCAATGTAACAATTGAATGGAACAACCGTTGTAAAATAAAGGACTCTCTCTCTCTCTCTCTTTATAGTTTTCTCCCTCTCTGCATGAGGTTAGAAATGTATCGGGGTTTGTATTTCTCAATTCAAGAGCAAATCTATAAAGAAATAGATTTCTGATTGTCTCTGGTCTTAAAAAAGGTACTTCTCAATGGTTAGCAAAACAGCTTATTTAATCTTAGGCAGTTTTAAACAAACGGTAAAAAAAAAACATTAAGATAACATAAAATGATACGTTTACGTGTACGTTTGCTCTTTGAAAAACAGAATTCGAAATTTTCATCATGTGCGCTTTTGTGTACATTATTGATAATACATATGSTGTATTTGCTCTCCTTTCTTAAAAAAATAGGAATAAAACTGCTATCTAGATCTTACAATCTCTCTCAAACGTTTTTTCCCTCTCTGTATGAGTTTAATAATGTATTGGGTTTTTTATTTTTYAATTTATGAGCCACTATCAGCCAAAAAAAAATCGGGTCGTTGCTGGCCTAAAAAGGTGCAGTACAGCGATATTCGTAGGGACACAAAAACTTTTTTCTGGTTAGCATAACAACTCACGTAGATGAAACTCAGTATAAAAAATCATCAAGATAATATCAAATGATTGTACTAGTACGTTTGCTGTTCGGAAACTAGAATCCGAAATATAATTGTTTGCGCTCGTGTGTATATTGTTGATCATACRTAGGTAATGGGATTTCATGCTCCCCAATCAAGAAATAATTAGACTCGAAAAATTCCTCTGACTGCCAAATTGGACTCGGCCTCATCCAATTTTGTGAAAATTCCGAGGACTTCCAAAATTGGATGAGGCCGCAGGCCGAGTCCAATTTGGCAGTCAGAGGAATTTTTCGAGTCTAATTATTTCTTGATTGGGGAGCATGAAATCCCATTACCTATTAATTATATAGCTGCCTAATAACAGTCATTCTATAAATTATAATAATAAGTATATGTAATAGGACTCCATGCTGTCCAATTAAAAGTTACGTCATTTCTATCTAAATTAACGATTGTCGAAATTTGTTTTTTTATAAAAGCAAAAACCTTGCTTGCTGTGCTGTGTGGAGTTATAAAGCACTTGGGAATTGGCAGAACACTCGAGAAGTGTCGAGAAGCACGCCGCTACACGTCGTGATTCTCCTGTAACACTTCTCTCGTGTTCTGCCAGCCCCCGGGTGAATAAGCGCGTTTTCTATTTCTTCATTTCATTTTTTATTTTATTATTTTATCTTTTATCAAGGATCACAGTTTTCTCAATGTCAACTGTTACCCTGTGAATGTAAATAAGGTCGATAACCACTAGTAGTGTAATTTGCATAAGATTGTAACCCCGAAATTTTGTGGGAAACACTCTTTTTTTAACATGAGTTTGTGCAATACTTATGTCTCTGATACAATAAAAGATAAGTAAGACCAAATAAGTTATTTTTTTAAGTTTTGCATCGCATTCTTTACAAAGTTCTTCAAGAATTTCGCTAGTGCAGTCGTCAAATTTCCCATTCACATATTCTTTACAATTTAACTTTAATTTATCTAAGTATTTACCATCTGGTTTTGCTTTCGCTTTTAATCAAATCGAAGGTACATTTTGACAGTTGTATTAATTTACGGAAGAAATAATCGTAAAAACAAAATGAATCGGGCACGCTTTTTTTCTGTTTCYAAAAATCGCAAAAATAAATTGTTTTGAAAAAAACGCTAAAGCTGTTTGCGAATTGCGAATTGAATATCCTCAATCGATTATTATAATCTAAGCATATTGTATATGAAAATATAGAATTACTAAAATAAATAAAAAAYGTGCTATGTAATCAGGGCCGATGGAAAGGAGATGGAGATAAAACTGAGTAAATTAAAGACATGGCACACCTTGATGTTTAGTGCGGTCTATTTGATGATCCTCACAGTATGTCAAGCAACTTATGCAGCTGCAAATCAAAAGACTCAGAAAAAAGTATGAGTCTTGGACGGGATTTACGCTATAACCACTGAGCTACCAAGTTTCATATGAGACTGCAAGGACACATTAGGTGGCTAGTTCGTAGAGGATGAAACACTAAACCAATGCCAGGCCAACACACAAACAATTTCAATCTTTCAAATGTTGGCTGTTTGAGATCGATCAGAAACTTGTGGAGCCAGAGGACACTAAAACAGAAAAATTGATTTCTCGGTCACTCTCTTTTGCGGTTCGGGATGGCACTTTCCAGAGGTGTTTGAAAACATAAGAAAAAATTAAACAATTGATTTTAAGACCTTTTCAAAARTAATCAAGAAGATATAATTATCCGCCATACAAGAAAAGATGAGACACAAAATAGTTTCAGCTTACTTTATTTTATGATTATTTTTTAAACCCGTTTTTCAATCCGGGATATTGTCTATCAAACGCTTCTTCTATCACCACGGTAACCAGTTACGAACAATAGAAGGATACAAGGCCCTGGTTAAACAACAAAACAAGTTTCCAGAAACATAGTTTCCACATAGACCCCCTCGATGAGCGTTACGCTCTTGGGGTTAATGTATCGACAAAATATGTTGAAATATAAAAAAAAGTTTCCAGAAACATCTTTCCCGTGCGCATGTTCCCCGATGTTTCCAAGTTTAGCCACATGCGAAACATTGCTACGTGCAACAAATTTTGCTTCCAAGACGCAAAAATGTTTCTGCTGATGTCGAGTAGAAACATTTCATGCTTCCAAGACGCATGGAAACAGTGTTTCCCAATGTTTCCTCGTTTAGYCACGAAAGTCAACATTCTAAAAGTTCGTTACTTAGCAACGCTAGCTCTATCTTGAAAGTGCGCATGCGCTARCCGATGTTGAGTAAACATGTTTCCCGATGTTTCCTGACAGTTTTGCCACCTTTGGAAACATTTAAGAAAACACGTTTCTGGAAACATTTAAGAAAACATATTTCTGGAAACATATTTCCTCGTTTAGCCAGGGCCTAAAACTGCAGACAGCGCTCTCAACAAATTAGATAGCCTAATACATGTTAATATATTCAGTTTCATCTCCATCTCCCTCCCACCTACCAATCAGGGATTTGATCTACCTTTTTCTAGGATTAATAAAATTCCACTTACAAACAAAACAAACGCATCGTTGGGGTTTTTCTTTTTTTTTTTTTTTCTTTTTTTTTTCCTTCCAAAAAGTATAATTAATTATATAATTTATTCAATGTATGGGTGATTTTGAGCCAAATATTGCTAAGATTGTCATGTTTACGGGGGTTGTCTGAGAAAACCAACAATAAGACATGAGCCTGATGAGCAATCAGCTTTCATATTTAATCAGTCCCAGAGCCAAGAACTTTAGTTCTAGCAAGAGCTAGCAAGGAGTTGCCGGACTGCGAAAACTAATTCGTAAAATAAAAATCGAGGTAGTAAAACTTGCTATGTTTTATTTCAAGCTAAGGTAAGTCTATATTGTAGGGAAACTAAACTATCAACATTCGAACACTTATCTTCTTTACTCTCCTCTGTTTAATAAAAAAAGAGAACAAGTTGGAAAATGTTTGCAAGACTAAGCCTATCTAAATKGTATTCATAAAAGGGTAAGTTATAAACAGTGAAAAGATGAAAAAACTTACTGACGTTTCGGACGCTAGTCCTCTTCTATCTAAATTGCCTGAGTCCTTTTTCCACTAAATAACAATGTGTGTTTAAACAACCGATTAAGAGAAAAGTAGAATAAGATAAGACTCTTCTTACGTTTGCTGTTTTGGGGAAAAAATAATTTAATATTGCAATATAACTCTCGAGATATTCGCAAACRACCTGTTTCTAACATTATTGATGTTATAGACTGGATTATCGATCTTGCCTTCGGCGTATTTGATCAACTATGYTTTAGTATAATAGAAAGACATAACTAGCTAAAAACTAGTGTGAGCTGCGTCGGTGTTTCTAATGAAACAGTAATGATGAAAAGGTAAATTATACACCGTGAAAAGA